CCACAAGTTTATGTCTGACAATGTCAAACAAATTAGGCAATTTAATCCATCTGTCAAAAAGGAAAATTCAATATGGCGTGGCGGCCAAGCAAGCTTGTTTTGAATATGTTTTTATGTGTATTCTAAATTATTTTGCTTAAAGTTTTGCTTGTAACTTTGATTTTGATTATTTAATACGTTATTTGTTGACTAGGTACCTAAACTATTAAATCGGGCAGAAACTAGAAATTTTTTTGTGTTTTTTGGCCCATGTGTGGCCGCCACGCCATCTTGAGTGTCACGTGCCTAATTGACTAGCAAAGTTTTTCGTATTCTTGTAAATTTTTTGTCGTGTTATTTTTTGCGTTGTGCGTCCGGACCTCCTGACTGAACTCTGGTGCTTTTTCAATTCAATTTTCATTTTCTGCGTGCATTTTAACAAAAATTGTGAAATTTGAAGAACCCAGACAAAATAAAACCAATTAAGTAGATCCCCTATCAGTTCCAGCAAGTACAAAACTGTATTTTTCATCAGCCGAGAATATCTGGAAAATTTCAGGTTATCCAGCTCTTGAAAATGGTTATTCTCTAGTAAACCTTCCAGAGAAATCCGACCCCCATAGCTTTGTTCCAACCCAGCAGAGAACCGTTCATTTTACCTCCAGGATTCTGCGCAAAACGTAAAATTTGTGTGTAGAATCCGAAATGTGTATACAGAATGGTTCCGAATAAGTTCTTGGGGCGGTTTTTTGCTAGGTTGGAAGTTGGAACAGTTCTAATAATGTCCAGAAGATCAAGATCGTCATTTGAAAACATATCCTCTTTAAGGAAATCGAAATCATAATCCATTTTAATTTAATTTAGAATATTCAGTAAAAGCAATGGAACAATAAAAAGAAAAAACCAACAAATGGATTGAGGTTGAAAAGTACGAATAGTCTAATCGATGTTTTAATCACCAAAAATTGGACGTTTAGTTCAATCAATGTTTAAGGTTCGCTAATTGTTGATTAGTGAACGGTGCAAGTCATTTTTCAAATTAAACAATGATTAATCATTTAAACGTTGTTTAGGCAAACGGTGCAATCGGCCATAAGTTACTGTCGAAACTTGTTCACGATAGGTTTGAAGCTCTGGGTGTCATTATAACACTAAATTTGGATTATTTTATAAACAAAAAAACACATGAGAAAAAATCCAAAAACGTTTCGGGTATGCCTAGAAAAAATAAATAAAAATAATTGTAAGAATGGGGTGGCAACAAAAATTTTGAATTTTTACCGCACTTCCTTCCGAACCTATTGTTGAGTAGTTTAGTTTAAAAATGACAACCCCCACTTCTCTTTTGAATCATTGAATCGCGCTCTCATTGGAAGTTGTCCGGATTTTGCTGTAGGAAAACATAGAGGCTGCTATCACTCTTCCTACCAATAATTTCTCTTAGATGATTACAGGATTTTCATACACCAACGATTTCATAAAACCCCAGAGGAAAAAATCGGGACTTCGCGATGGCCTCCTCTTCCGATCCATCGCCCAGGAAATTGTATTCCGCGTGCACAGTACTGACAAAAATCGGCAAAGTGTTTAAGTCACATTTTAGCTCGCATACATATCCATAGAAACGTTCACATTGTCAAACTGTTTAAATCAAAAATCCGATCAAAATATGTATGAATGTATAGTTGAAAGTTAAAAAAAATCATTTTTTGATATACACGAAAAATTTTGAAATTTGCACACGCAACTGCTTGAAATATAGTTCCGGAGCTATTTGCTGCAATTGCAAAAATTCACCTAAAAGAGATGGATGTACGCTTGCCCGTCATAAAAATCCCTGCAAATATTCTACCCAGAGATGAAAATAGCAAAGTGGCTTTGAGTGAAAAAAAAAAGCCTCATTGGTGAATAGAATGATCGAACCAAAAGACGGTTGGTTGGCGATACGTTGCAAAAACCATTGGCAAAAAGTATCCGCGGCACAACAAAAGAAGAAAAATTTAGGTGTAAATAAAATTAGTAGATAAGCTAGGGTGCTTCTGCGTCAATTTTGGCCGATTTGGAGTAGGATAATTTTTCTGGGATCCCTAAGCTATATTGTTTTGTGATTTCCAGAGCAAATTGACGCTGTCCTACATTCTACCGGAGGTAGGTCAACTCACAGACGAAAAGGATCTTTCAGACGACCCGGAAAATATCGAAATTAGTCAGAATGGAGACACAGCGGGAACTTTCCAGATGCACACCGCTCAAGACGACATTTATGACGAATCTGACGAAAAAGATTTGGCACTAAAACGTCGGAAGATTCTGGAAAACAAGGCAGTAAGTTTCAAACCGACTTGGGGATCTGGATCATTCGTGCAACAAAATTTACCTCCATCCAAAGAAGAGGAACACATGCAAGAACTGAGGGGCGAAATGAAGGTTTTGTCACCGTTAGTAATTCTTTTTGAGTTTGTCGTCGAGGATATTATGGATTTGATTGTCAAGTGTACAGGACAATAACAGACACGACTTTCATCTATCACGAGAAGAACTGCTGAATTTTCTTGGGATCCTGATTTTGTCTGGATATCACAGCTTACTCCAGAAGGATATGTATTCGTCTTTAAGTGAGGACAAAACTGTGAATATTGTCAGAGCAAGTACACAAAAATTCGCCCCTTTTTTGATACAATGAATTTAAAAAAAATATATACATTTTCGCGTTGTTTTATTTAATTTTTCCATTCATGAGCAAATGGTTCCTTATTTTGGACGTCATCTTTGTAAGATGTGAATAAAAGGTAAGCCTGTCGGTTTTGGATCCAAACTTTGGTGCATTGGTTCTTCGAGTGGATACCTGTACAAGTTCATTCCTTATGCAGGCGCATTAGAAAAGAAAACTGATATTGGACTTGGTGCAACTGTAGTCGTTGATCTTTTCCTCTTACAAACTGTTGTCTCTTTTGGAAACCAAAGGCTTCTTCGCCACAAGAACGATGCGCGAAAACAGAACAAATTATAGGCTGTTTCACTAATTTTTGAAATTGGCATTATTAGCTAAAGCGACTAAAAACAGAATTTTCTGTATTTTTACTTTTGAAAAATTCACCGTTCTTCTTGAGAAAATAGAAAAAAAAGAAATACTTCCAAATAAAAATTCAGAATTTATCCTTATGACGTCGCCGCTGACATTTTGACAATTTTGACCGTGCTGCCACTAATTGCCAACATTGAAAATTTTTAATAGAATTATTTCTAAAATGTTGGTAAAATACCATGAAAAAAGTTAAATTAGTTATGAATTCAAGATTTTATAACATTTTTTTTAAAATTATGCACACAATTTAAATCTATTTTTTATATTTAGTTTTTTTTTTTTACATCCCAGTGAATTTGGCCAGTTTTTAGTGCCTGTAAAAAACTTATAAATTACGAATTTAAATTTTAGTGAAAGAGCCCATTGTCCTATGATTTCAAATGAAGTGATATCGAAACAAGAAAGGAGCACGCAAGATTCACAATTTGACGAATCCACCCAAATTTCATTGGAAGAGTGGAACAGTAATGCCATTGTCATGGCAATCAGTACCCATTATTAGGTACACACTCCCACTTGCCAAAAAGTACAGTAGAAAAACAAGAAAAGAAGTATCAATTATTCTGCAACTAGCCCTAATTTCAACACATGATAAATACATGGGAGGGGTAGATTTGTATGATAATGGCGTGGCAAATTATAGAATCAGTATGACGAGTAAGAGATAGTGATGGACACTATTTATGAATACAGTCGACAATTCTCTTGTGAATTCATGGAAACTCTACAACATCGTGCCTCAGAATAAGATGAGCTTTGAATCATTCATCACAGTACGACTGCTAAAAACAAAGAATTTTCTCGCAAGAGCCTCTTCCAATAGAACCACCCAATAAAGTGAGAGTTGATCACTCTGGACATTTTATCAGTAGAACTGACTCCCGAAGGAGATGTCGTTACTACAGGAGTCAAATAATTTATATTTGTGAGCTATGTAGTTTATTTACGCTGACTGTTTCCGGCAATATATAGATCGTTGATGCGTTCACGCAACACCTCTTATTTCATGAAATAGTTGGTTTATTTCTTTTTTGACGCCACATATGTGTTACTGTCAGGTGTTTTCATAATTTATATTCTTTAAATATTTTAAGATTTATTTCTATCCTTGGCCGTGAATGGTAATTCAATGCAACCACAAACTAGTGGAGAATAGCTAATGTGATGAAAATTCAATTTTTGCCTAATTAATTGCCTTTGGACCATTACCAAATGAAAAACCAACATTAATGGTTCCCATTTTTTTTTTTACGTTTTCCACGCTCACAATTTACTTGCGATATGACGGGCTGCAGTTTCTAAATTAGTTTCCAAAATTGGATATTCTGCCGGGCCAAGCGACGCACAAACACGTAATTTCCACTCGGTTCATAATTAGAGTAGGTAGCTCATTTCTATGTTTTAATAAATCCGATTACTCTGCCATTAACATTACATTGTGGATGGGAGAAAATTCGAAAATTCAATTTATTTAAGCATAAACTATATGAAAAACGTATTTATAAGTGCGCGATTTATTATAATAGCGTGCGATGGGGTGGTTTTTTTAACTGATTGGCTGTATATAATGTGTATTGAAATTAGCGGTTGTCAGAGGCCCCTTTTTACTGAACCGCAATTTGAACAAAACGGAAAATTGAATTCAGCACGATAGCGATTGCGATCGCGGCACTTCCACCATATAATTATTATAATTTTCCCTAACCCGGAAGATGCAAATTTTAACTTACCTACATAATTCGATAGTTCTAAATGTATAATTTGCTTTCTTGGTCGTGTTTCGGTACTGGTGACAAACACAAGCGCGTGATTGTTTACATTCCGTGAATTCTTGTATCGTATAGGCGATTTTTTACCGGTTTCATATGCCAAATATTTAACATTTAGTGGATGTAAATTAAATCAAATTAGTAGAGGTTTCTTTCTTTCGTTTAAAATGGCTTCTCCCCCCGGTGGGGAGGGCACTAGTGCACAGACACAAATAAATAGTAGTGAAAAAGCTGTTGAAACAATGGATGGTGACTTCGGGGATATTAGCACGGATAAAACACAAACCAAAAAATGTTTTAATACATTTACGGATAAGTACAACCTCAGTTGCATTTATGTTATGATAGAAAATACTTCAAAAGAAAATTTTGGTCGTGTTCATCCTCTGAGAGTAGGACACATATTACATAAAAAACTAATGATACAAAATATTATTGAAGTTAAGCCCGTGGGAAAAAATAGAGTTAGGGTACAACTTAAATCTCTTAAAGATGCTAATCTATTAATCAATAATGTAGCTTTGGAAAAAGAAAATCTTAGAGCTTTTATTCCTAACCACTTATTAGAAACTAAAGGGTTAATCAGAGGGGTTGATACGTTTTTTGAAGAAAGCTACATCTTACAAAATATAAATTCTAGTAGTAAAGTTACAGAAATTAAGAGATTCACTAAAAAAGTTTATAAAGAAGATTCGTCATTTATCGTGAAAAAACAAACTGTTCTTATTACATTTGAAGGTAACATTTTACCGGCAGAAGTGTCTATAGATACAGTTTTTTTTCCTGTAGAAATGTATTATGGAAAAGTGACACAATGCTTCAAATGTTTAAGTTACGGTCATATTTCTAAGCAATGTAAGTCTAATAAACATCTATGTGTTTCATGTGGAAAAGATAAAAATGAGGATACTGAACATTCTTGCACTGCGGTGGATATACATTGTGTACACTGTAAAACAGGCACACACAAATCATATTCTAAAAATTGCCCATTTTTTGAAAAACAAAAAAGTCTAAAAAAAATAATGATTGATAACAAAATAACTTTTAAAGAAGCCGAAGCTCTTTACAAAAATTCCTACTCAGGAATAATAGTAAATAATAGGTTTAGCCTATTAAATGATCCCATAAGTTATGATAATCAATTTCCATCCCTACCCGTAAATCGATTAGGTAACAATGCGTCAAATAAAAAACCCCCTGCACAGAGAATTACAGCCATATCTCAACCTTTACCTAGCACTAGTAACAATAATTATAATTTTAAAAAAAGAAAACAAAATTTTTCCCCATCTCCTCAAGCACAACCGATGTTTCCATTTGTGTTTGGCTCCTCAACCCCCCTCACTCCTATGGGAAACAATAAAGAAACGTCTGATGAATTTACTGAAATAGGTACACTACTTATTAATACTTTAACTGAGTATTTTGTTAATCTTGTTAAGAATTGTAACTCCTTGGATGATATCAGAAAGATAAATTTTGAAAATATAAAAAGTAAATTAAGCGATATCATAAGTGAAAGTAATCCAACAAATAAATAGACAAAATGGCAAATAAAAATACATCCAATAAAATTAACATTCTGCAATGGAATTCACAGTCTGCAGTTTCCAAAAAAAGAAGTTTAGAATTATATCTTCAACAAAATAACATTCATATTGCCGCTATTAATGAAACTTGGTTTCAACCAGGTAAAAACATTAATTTTTCTGGCTACAATATTCTAAGACAGGATAGAGCTGATGGAAGGGCAGGAGTTGCAGTTTTTATTGATAAAAGCCTTGCCTTTTCTTCAGTTAATTTTATTCAAAACTATAATGCTGGTATAATGGTATGTGCTGCCTCAGTGTTTATAAAAAATGAGAAAATTACTTTTGCTTCAATCTACAGACCTCCTAATGTTAAGACTAGTTATAGTGATTGGATAAATATAGTAAATCAAATTCCTTCGCCATTTTTTATATTAGGTGATTTTAATGCCCATAGTAAGGTATGGGGCTCTCAAAAAAATGACCTTTTGGGAGAACAAATACTACGTGTAATTGATGACACTAACCTAATAATTTTAAACAATGGATCGTCTACTAGAAAAACCCGCCCCAATGAACTGGATTCTGCTGTTGACATCAGCTTTATCTCACCTGATTTAGGATCACGGGTTAATTGGATTATTGAAAATGACTCTCTTGGGTCAGACCATTATCCCATTTTGATTAATCTTGAATCAAAAAATCTCTTACCTATCACAATAAACCCCAAAGTCAAATGGAATACCAAGAAAGCTAAATGGCTTGACTATACTATATTTATAGAAAACCGCTTTTTGAATAGCCTCATACCACATACGACGGAAGAAAAATATAAATTTTTAATTAGTACGATAAACGATGCAGCAAAGCTATACATTGCGGTTAATAAATGCAGACCATATACTAGACCACCCCCTCCGTGGTGGAACCCCTCCGAATGTGACCCTGTCATTCAAAAAAGGAAAAATGCACTTCTGCAATATAAACAAAAACCATCTCTAGAAAACTATATATTATGCTCCAAGGTCGAAGCTGAAACTAAAAAATTTCTCAAACAAAAAGCTAGAAATTCATGGGTCTCATTTTGCTCCAATTTAAATAAAAACACAAATTCAACCGAAATATGGCAACAAGCTAGAAAAATGGCTAGGCAAAACATTAAGTTAAAACCTTCCTCTAATATTTGGTTAGAGGAGTTTTTTGATAAAGTTACTCCTCCTTTAGTTAGGAAGGAACCCAAAAATGTTAATCTGAACTATCCTGAAAATCATTTCTTATGTCGGCCTTTTAGTCTGGATGAGCTTGAGTGCTCACTTAAAACCGCACGCAATACAGCTCCTGGAATTGATGACATACAGTATATCATGCTCTACAACTTACCCCACATTGCCAAGGTTACTCTACTTGACATTTATAATGATATATACTTACGTGGCAAAAAAATTGAAGAATTTGAGCACGTTGTAGTAGTCCCCATACAAAAACTGGGTAAAAACCCCGATCTAGGCAGCTCCTATAGGCCTATTTCCCTGTTATCTTGTGTGCTTAAAACCTTTGAAAGGCTTATTAAGTATAGATTGGAATTTTGGCTAAAAAACAAATGCCTCTTACCACCTAATCAATACAGTTATAAAAAAGGCTTTGGCTCCTTAGATGCTGTTGCACACATAACTACAGACATTCAAACTTGTTTTTCGTCAAACGATTATCTTGCTGGCCTATTTTTAGATATTCAGGGTGCTTATGACTCCGTAGACCTAGATATTCTTCAGGTCAAACTTATTAATCAATTTCTAATACCGGAAAATATAGCACAATCTATTGTGTCACTATATCGTGTAAGGCAAATTTATATCAGAAATAATGATAATGAAAAAATTGGACCAAGATTTGTCTATGATGTAGGGCTACCTCAGGGGTCGGTTTTAAGCCCCCTCCTGTTCAATATAAACACTGCAGATTTACATAACATACTTCAATCATCCAGCATTATCCAATATGCTGATGATTTTTGTGCCTATAAAGTATGTAAAAAATATGAACAGTGTACTAGCAGTATACAAATGTTATACCGTCAAATATCTAAGTGGGCTCTGCTAAATGGTTTCAACATATCATTAGAAAAATCTAATGCATGCATTTTTACTCGACATAATACCCCTATAGTGAATTATGTTTATGTAAATAAAGACATTAGAATTCCATGCACAAATCAAGTAAAATACTTGGGAATAATTTTAGACAAAAAACTTAGCTGGAAAGATCACATTGATAGCATAGTTATAAAATGCGAAAGGGGTTTAAATTTCCTAAGATGTGTCACTAAAACTTGGTGGGGATGTGATGTTAAAACGGCTTTAATTTTTTACAAAAGTTATATAAGATCGATTATTGATTATGGGTCCTGTTTCTATGGATCGGCTGCCAACAGCTTACTTCAAAAAGTAGATCGCATTCAATATAAAGCTCTACGCATTAGCCTGGGGGCCATGCGCTCTACACCCATTAGAGCCCTTTTAGTTGAAGCGCTAGAGCCTCCTCTTGAGTTGAGGCGCATCATGATTAGTGCAAAGTTTCTTTCAAAGCATAAATTTTTAAACACAAATTTGGTGGACAAAGTAATTAAACTAAACATTCATGATTTGACAAATAAATACTGGCAAAAAAAAAGATCCCCTCCACTCTGTGAGGCGTTTCGAGAATTGCAACCAATATGGGAATTTATAGTGCCTCTAGATTTCTTTGATTATGATTATAAAAGTTGCATACAAAATAAGTCAATTAGGTATCCCCTATTTACTGACAATCCTGCCATTAATAAAAAGTTAATTAAATCAGAACTAATGAAATACTCTACATGTATACATATATACACGGACGCCTCAAAATGTGCTGAAGGAAATGGTGCAGCATTTTATATTCCTAGCTCAGATATAAAACGTCAGTTCTCTATTAACACACACTGCAGTATATTTACCTCAGAGGCTATTGCCATCAGGGAGACACTTAAATTTTTGTTAAGTAGTAAATCCAATGATTTTGTTATTTTGTCCGATTCCATGTCTGTACTTCAAGCAATTGAAAATAGATATTCATGGTCTTATAAAATAAATCCTGTCATATGGGAAATAAAAAAATTGATTTATCGCCTGTCCCTTTTAGAAAAGAATATTAACTTTATATGGGTTAAAGCCCATACAGGCATACCTGGAAATGAAATTGTAGACCAACTTTCCAAAAAAGCGGTCACCTATGGCATTCCAGTACAAGATAGCTTATGTCCTACTGATCTTGTCGTAGAAATAAAAAGAATTATAAGTGATAAATGGAATCTGATGTGGGAAAAGATTTGTAAAGAATCCCCTACAAGCTATTGTAGATTAGTCACAACTATACCTTCTAAATACTGGCACGACACACTTAATGTTTCAAGGCGTTTTTTGACTACAATAATAAGAATGAAGTTTGGACATGCTTGTTTTCCAGCTCATTTAAATAAAATTCATGTCTTAGAATCTGATAAATGTAGCTTTTGTAACACAAATGGTGATTTAAATCACATTTTTTTAGAGTGTAAACAATACAGTCATGAAATTGACGAACTACTGTATAAACTTAGGATAGAATGTAATGTGGCTTGTCCCCTTAATATTACGCACTTACTGGCACTTAACAATGTAAAAGTATTAACGGCTCTTATGAACTATCTTAGTAATATTGGTCTAAGTATTTAAGTGTAGTATGGTACAATAAATAGATTAGGATTAGTTAGGTTAAATAGATTCCACTACTCCCTTTATGTGAATACCCTTTCAATCCGTGGTCTATTCTTGTGTTGTCAAAAAAAGTCGCCCTGATGGACCCCAGAGGCGTGAAAAGAGTGTCCCAGTCTGTGTCCCTTTATGTCTGATTATTGTAGAAATAGTATACTTACTAATGGAAGTAGTTGAGACATATATTTTATCTATGTATATACTTATGTATGACTTATTTCATATTATAAAAGTATCAGTCGAAACAGCTCTCGTACTCAAATAGGTTAGAATATTTTAAATTTCTGAGATTTTGGTATGTAGATTGAAGCAAATAACTATATTTGTTGGGAAAAAAAAAATTTAAAAAAAAAAAAAAAAAAAATATATAAAAAAAAAAAAAAAAAAAAAAAAATATTTTTTTTTACAAAACTAAGCGTATATGTCTTAGTTTCAAAAATTGCAACTGGCTGTATGGTAAAGGCCGCATGCCAAAAAAAAAAAAAAAAAAAAAAAAAAAAAAAAAAAATGTATAATTAGTTTTTGCAATTATTGTGAATGTGGACTAATC